TCATATGCAAATGACTAATCTGTGAAACAAACAGGGGCGGAGACAAACCACTCAAATGTTGGAAACACTCATTGTGTGTCAGATAGCTACTGATAACACATCCTAACATTGCTTTGTCTTGAGTTTATCTTTGAAACTTATAGGCACACAGATTAAACCTGTGTTGTTGATTTTGGAAAACACTACTGAGGCTGCCTTGCTTCCCTTCAGAAAATCTACATTTTAACTAACTTACATGACATTCTATGTTATGTTGACTTTATCACATGAAAGTTTATAGTGCATTTCATCAATTAATAAATAAATGTGAAAATCGTAATTTTCAACACAAATAATAGTCTCGCTACCTTAAGCTTATGTATAATTCGAATTGTTAAACTACTGATTAAAAAACATACATATCGTGAATAAGCACAAAACAGACATACAAATCGGATTTTGTCCGTGATTTTGATTTACGTTTCAAATCTATATGTAAGACGGATTGATCCAGAAACCGACCGACATTGTGTTTGTGTTCAATACCCCATAACAGTTAATATGTAAATTTAAATTACAACGCAATTGAAGTTATTATTATGATGATCATGATGAAACTAGTAAAGTTACTACGCACGTATGTAGCCCCATATTCTCAAGTGTCAATCTGAGAGATATCACTGCAATTATACGCACTACTCGCTTATTTTTAGTAGCCAATGACCTATTATATATTAGTACAGTCTTGACACTCGACAGATAAAGAGACTCGAGCGATTGCGTTTATTTGATTGATGAATATTGCAAGCATCAATTCATACACTGTACAATATACTTATCCTGACGCTGACACATTTACAGGTTTAAGAGGCTCATTATAGACTTACGATTGACCTTTAGCTTATAATATGCCATTATTAGAATTTATTTGATATGAAATATGCATCGAATGACATACGTATTTATAGAAATAAAGTATTTAAGAAGTTAAAACAAAACACAATAATCTGAAATAAATCTATACGTGTTCAGAATATGTCAACTTTCCAGTATTTATACAAACATTACGGTGTATCACCATATTAATATTGCCATATAATCAAAGTGAAACTACATTATGACTTCGTGTGAAATCCGTTAATGTTGTAACAGCACAATATACCTTTAATTTAAGATGTTTTATGTGAATGACGTTTAATTGATAAACAATAAATCGTCTTGAATCGTGACGCAATGTGTTTGTTATTGTACATGTAACTGATGCATATTAATTACAACCTATGCAGTATGGACCTGTCCTTGTAATGGTATATTGTTTTTATGTTATAATTACGCTATAATTGTTATAATTACGCTATAATTGTTATAATTACGCTATAATTGTTATAATTACGCTATAATTGTTATAATTACGCTATAATTGTTATAATTACGCTATAATTGTTATAATTACGCTATAATTGTTATAATTACGCTATAATTATTATAATTATGCTATAATTGTTATAATTACGCTATAATTATTATAATTATGCTATAATTGTTATAATAACGCTATAATTGTTATAATTACGCTATAATTATTATAATTACGCTA